CTGTTCATGATGGCGGTAATGTCTTAGAATTTCTTATTTCGTATTCTATAAAGGTCAAAATAGGTATTTTAAAAGGAAGGAATCTCTAGGGTGTTACAAAGTGGTATCTGGGAGCTTTGGTTGAGATTTTTATTACCACTAAAGCCAAAAACGTGTTTTAAAGTATTTTGTTTTTAAACTAGGCCAAGTGTTTATTTAATGAGTTATTTTAAAAAGTGAGTTGTTTTATTTTAATTTTTTTTAGAGACCGAATTTTTTTTATTTAAGAGATAAGGTCCGAATTTTATTTTATGAAGAAATCCGAATTTTTTTTTATTTGGGGTGTCTGAATTTTTTTAATTTTGGCCGAAATTTTTTTGGCTTAATTAGGTTAATTTTTGAAAAATTTTAAATAAAAGAGGAGTGAAAATTTAATTTTTTTTTTTAGTTTGTTCGTTTTGCAAGGAAGCGAAGGATTAAGGTATGAGTGATGTCCTAGGAGACAAGCAGTGGGATTATCCTGATCGTGTTTCAGCCATGGTAGTTCACTGTCTTTCTGATGAACCCTCATATCTTGATGTCAAAACAAAGTTTGCTAATTTCTATTTTCCTGGGGACATCCCCAATTACTCTAAATATAAAGACTACTATGGAAAGTGGTGCCCCCTGACTACAGATACTTAATTTCTTACCTCGTTCGAGTAGAGAAATATCACTGCGAACGCTTACATATTCCATACCCAAATTATTATGTTCATGATAACCCAGTAGGGAATGATTCCCCTTTTACAAGCAATCAATCAGGAAACATTTCCCCATCACAAGGAAATCAACCAGGAGCAAATGGAGGGCAAGAGGAAGGGGAACCAATAGAAGAGAGTAACCATACCGTTGATAGTTCCATTATGAAAATCTCAAATCCAAATCCACGCACCACCAACCCCAATCATTATTGACATTTCATCTGACGATGTAGAAGATTAAGAGTTTATTCAAGTTGAGCAAAATCCAGAGACACATGAACCAATGGAGGAGGAGGATGACCCTGAATTCGATTCTGGAAGCTACAAACAATCGAAGGACAAGAAGGATAATGTTCGAAAGGACTAGAATTCTGGAGTTTAATTTCTTTGTAGGATTTCTAATTTCATTTCCGCAGTCATAGTTATTTCATTTCCAGTAAACTAATAAGTGGCATGACCACAGTAAGTCAATAAACCTATTCATTTGCGTAGGTTATTTGAATTCATTTATTTCCATTCATTCCTTTATTCATCAATAAAATTTATACTCATTTCTTGCAAAATGATCCATTTCACTGTCAAATAATTCATTTCTTTATCAAATCATTCATTTCATATCACTACTCTAATGAGCCATTTCTTACTCAAATGATCCAATAATTCATTTCCAAACTCTAGGAAACCATGGGAATTATTTTTATTTATTGTGATGCTTTATTAAATGTATGGTTGGTTAGCAATCAAAACTGTGTTGATCAAGCTGCAAATTTTAGGAGTTGTAATTTTTGCAACCTTAATTTAGTAGCTTAAAATTAAATATGTATTTATGATTGGTACATGTTAGTAGGATGGGTGTCTAACTTGAGATTTAACCATGACCACAATTAATTAAGACCCCTTGTTTTAATTCAGGAGAAGGAAGATGGTAAGAGGAAGTGGAAACAATAACGATGGAGGTGGTGAGCTGAGTAAAGTGGTGAGGCAATTGGCCGTGGTCGCCCAACAATTAGCAAGGAATTCGACCAACAATGGGGATGCTCATGGAGAACTGTTCAAAAAAGGTGGCACAAAGCAAGCCACCAACCTATCAAGGCAAACAAGACCCAAATGTGTTAGAAAACTGGTTAAGGGAGTTTGAGAAACTGTTCGGGGCAGTTGGATGCACAGAAACTTCAAAAGTAGGTTGTGCTACCTATTACCTCAAGGGTGAAGCTGACCTTTGGTGGCAACTAAATGAGGCTACAGTTAAGGAACTAATTGGTTTTAATTGGACTATATTTCAAGAAAAGGTAAGGGATAAGTTTTACCCCAGCTTCCTACAGAAACAGGAAGCTGGAGAATTTTCTAACCTAGCAATGGGAGATATGTCAATCACTAAGTATTATACCAAGTTTATTGAGCTGTTAAGGTTTGCCAAAGAATCTGTTGCAAAAAAAAATAAAAAGTGAAGGATAGGAAGTGCGAGAGTGGGTTGACTATTGATCTCCAACTAAAACTGTGTGGACAAGTGTTTGAAACCTTGGATGAAGTTTATGGTAGGTCTGCACACCTCTATGCTTTAGAGTTGAAGAAGAAGAAGGAGTTGACTGAGATAGAAGGAAAGGAAAAGAAAGGATAAAGGAGATAGGACAAAGTTTTGGAAACCACCGGGGGAACCAGAACAACTTCAAAAATTAGAAATACAGCCACAACAACAACTTCAACCATAACAATAACTTCCACAATAACAATCGCCAAGGTGGACGAAACTTTAATGAAGGAGCTAAGAACCCTAACTAGGGAAATAACAAAGGATCAAGGAATTACTACTGTAAGAGGTGTAGAAACGATCACCCTGGTAAGGACTATGAGGGAAATTTAGTCACTTGTCGTGCTTGCAACAAGTTAGGCCATAGGGAATATGAATGTTTCTCTAAGGATCCTAAGCGAAACAAGAAGGGAAACAATCAAGGAGGGGCTTAATGGAACTTTCAAGGAAACAACAACTATGCAAGAAACAAAGGACCACAACAAAATGGGGTGAAAAGCAACAATAATGGGAATTGTCAAGCGAAAAGTGGAGCTCCAGGAAAACCAAATGTAATAAGTAGGCACGAAGGACGTTATTACTGGTACTTTTTCTATTAACTATGTTCCTTTTAAAGTTTTGTGTGATTGTGGTGCAACTTTTTTTTTCATTTCAAAAGTCATTGTTTTAAAACTATCGCACTGTTTGAAAACCATAGACGTTATAGATGTACTTATAATTATTCCTACAGGAGGGGTAGTGCAGTGTACCAAAATCTGGAAGGATGTACCATTGTCTGAACTCATTGACTTCGGGCTGAGTGACTTCGATATAATCTTGGGAATGGATTGGCTGAGCAAGTATAGTGCAGAGATTTGTTGTCAATCACATAAAGTACATCTAAGTACAATTGAGGGTGAGTTGGTAACGCATTGGAAGCATGGGGAAACAAAGTGTCAAAGGATCATCTCTATGATGAAGTTGGCTAAGTACATTAAGAAGGGGCATCCATTATATTTCTGTAGTGTAAGGAACTTGGATCATGAGGAGACAGATAAGCCAGAACACATAGAAGTGGTGAGTGAGTTTTTGAATGTGTTCTCGGAAAAAATTCTAGGGATGCCACCTAAGAGGGCGATTGACTTTACAATAGAATTGGTCCCAGGGTCAACACTAATTTCCAAAGCACCATGTCGAATGGTACCTCAAAAATGAGTGAATCGAAGGAGCAACTGCAGGATTCGCTAGAAAAGGGGTATATTAGACCAAGTGCATCACCTTGGGGAGCTCAAGTGTTATTTGTTAAGAAGAAAGATGGGAGTATGAGGTTGTGTATTGACTATAGAGAGTTAAATAAGGTCACCATAAATAACAAGTACCCATTACCAAGAATTGATGACCTGTTCGACCAATTGAGGAGCACATCTTTGTTTTCCAAGATTGATTTGAGGTCTGGATACCATCAATTGAGCATCGCAGACGAAGATAACCTTAAGACATCATTTGGGACAAGGTATAGGCAATACAAGTTCACAGTAATGTCATTTGGGCTTACGAATGCTTCAGCAATCTTTATGGACTTGATGAACAGGGTGTTCCATCCATTCATGGACAAGTTTGTCGTAGTGTTCATATATGATATACTGGTGTATTCGAAGAATAAGGAGGAACATGTGGAACATTTGAGGGCAATTTTACAAACCTTAAGGGAGAATAAGCTCTATGCAAAGTTTTCCAAGTGTGAGTTCTGATTAGAAAATGTAGCATTTCTGAGTCATTTTGTATCCAAGGATGGGGTAGAGGTAGGTCTTACAAAGATTGAAGTAGTAAAAGGATGGCCTACGCCAAAGACAGTGTCTGACATTCGGAGTTTCTTAGGTTTAGCAGGGTATTATAGGCGCTTTGTGAAGGACTTTTCTAAGATTGCTAATCCTATGACCTCTTTAATGAAGAAAGACAAAAAGTTTGAGTGGGATGAGAAGTGTGAGGAAGCGTTTCAGCTTTTGAAACGGAAGTTGATTATAGCACCAATGTTGACACTGTCATACGATAGTGGGATCTACGATGTGTATAGTGACGCATCCAAAAATGGTCTGGGATGTGTGCTTATGCAAAATGGAAAGGTAATTGCATATGCATCGAGGCAATTGAAACCTCATGAAGTAAACTATCCTACTCATGACCTGGAATTAGCTGCAATCATTTTTGCACTAAAGATTTGGAGGCATTACTTGTATGGGGTGAAGTGTAGGATCTATACAGACCACAAAAGTTTAAAGTGCATCTTCACCCAAAGAGATCTAAACTCACGCCAAAGGAGATGGTTAGAATTTGCAACGGACTATGACTTAGACATACATTATCATGAAGGGAAAGCAAATGTAGTTACAGACGCTCTAAGTCGTAAGACTAGCCATGGACTGGACACTTTGATAGTGGCTGATGAATTATGTAGTAAAATGAGCAAAATGAACTTAGAAGTGGTAGAATGGGGAGTGTCAAAAGGAATACTTGAAAATCTAAGCATTTAACCAACAATATTTGATGAGATAAGAGAAAATCAGGCAGGTGATGTAAAGTTAGAAAAGATTCGTGAGAAACTAAAACAAGGACAAGCTATAGTTTTCAAAATTCATGAAGATAGGAGTTTGAGGTACAAGGGTAGATGGTGTAAACCAAAAAAATGTGAGGAACTAAAGAAGAAATTAAAGGAAGAAGGGCACAATACACCATATTCAGTACACCCTAGAGGGGACAAGTTATACAAGGACTTAATTGAAGAAAATGTATTGCTGGCCTAGGATGAAGAATGAAGTTGCAGAATTTGTAGCAAAATGTCTAACCTATCAAAAAGTGAAAATAGGACACAAGAGACCACAAGGAATCTTCCAATTTGATGGACTTTGTTACTTACCTCCCAAAGTCAAAGAGTGGAAATGATAACATTTTGGTCGTGGTGGATAAACTTACCAAATCCGCAATGTTCATATCAATGAAGTAGATCTGGAAGATGGAGCAACTTACAAAAGCTTACATCAAGAATGTTGTGAGGTTACATGAAGTTCCAAAAGATATCGTGTCTGACAGAGATTCTAGGTTTCTTTCAAAGTTCTGGAAGAGTGTTCAGGAAAACTTTGGTACAACACTAATTATGAGTACAATATTTTACCCTGCCACCGATGCTCGCTGGTGGCGGTGACCGGCCGGTGGGATAGGTGTTCTAAACACCAAGGGATAGGATTTGTGGTGCTTTATGCGCTTAAAGTGTTTCAACACCAAGGTAGTTTTAAAAGGGTCCAACATTTAAATATATGTGAGCACTAAATATTCAAGAATTGAATTGGAATGTTTGATTACTTGAATGATTATGTTGATTGATTGTGTTGTGGATTAAGAGTCATCACAAAGTCTAAAAATATGTAAAATAACGTAAAGTAAAAGAGATTACGCACCAAAACTCTTGGAACGTATATACCTCGAGTATGAATATATGGGAGGAATTATGGGGTTTTATATATAACTATAGCTTCTACTAAGAGTACAGGACACTGTACTTTCCTTTTATTATTATGTGAAGGACGTCCGTCACTTTCATGTGACATCTATGCCTACCCGGTTAGCTCCCGCAGTAGTTTACCCCAATTCTTTGGGGCAGGGATTTTATGGGAAACCAGTTCGATGCGTAATCAAATTAAATAACTAATTTAGTTATCTATTTATTTATTTGTATGTTGTATGCTTGTAAGCATGTAAGCATGTTAGTGTGATTCGTTTACGCTTATGTACTCAGCATTGCTGATTGTGTATTATATTTTTGTTTGCCCTTGTTTTTATCTTGGTCCTACGACGACACATTTCTAATGGCGAGTAGTGAGGACAAAGTAAAGAGAAACTTTTAGGTGATGAAGTATATTCATGATGGGCATGAGTGAAGAGCGAATCTTGCTTAGTTTCCATAATTAAGAATATGCTTTGTTTTATTTACTTTGGTTATTATATATTTGCTTGTGAGACTAACGCAATGTTTTAAATACTTATTTTGGTTTTGAAAGGGCCTACAATGGTTCCAAGTTGTAGGTCGACTTCGTTTGACTTTGGTTTGATTTTACTTTGGTTTGGTTTGACTTTTAAAGTTGGTTTGTTTTAATTGGTTTTTGAAGTGAGACTTCCGATGTGTGTTTTTGATAATTGTCTTATTTGTTATCACGATGGTGGTAATGCCTTAGAATTTCCTATTTTGTATTTTATAAAGATCAAAACATGTATTTTAAAAAGAAGGAATTTCTAGGGTATTAGTGTGTTACATAGACTCCATAACCTCAACACTTTCACCAGCATCTTCTTACATATAATTTTCAATCAAATGCTCCATAGGATCGAGATTCATATAAGTTCGAATGAAGTTATGTACCAAAGCACAGCCCAAAATAATCTTACATACAAACTTACGAAGATACCAAGTTGTGTTCGTCGAATACCCCACCTCATTTTCAGCAATCCAAAACATCTTTCTATGACATTTCTTGCTTGAGAATGCTTCATGTTAAAATATTCTTCAGCATATAGTGGTTGAGCACCATTTTTCCAAATTCTCAAATGATATCTTTGAACCCTAAGCGGTGTTAAAAATCCTTCACAATTCATATATCTAGTATCACATAAGTAGTAGTTACCTAAGAAAATAATAATAAAAAAAAGGTCTTTAATTCGTTTAGTCTTCAAGAGATCTTAATCTTTAATTTACTAACTAATGAAAATTAGATGTTCTCATTACCTTGAGGGTCTCTTAATGGATTTTTTCGAGAAAGTGCATCGCGAAGAACTCTATTGTCATGTGCTGAACCCTCCCACCCAGGTAACAAATACATAAATTTTATATCTCGTGTACACACACCTAAGACATTAGTAGAAATTTCTCCTTTTCTATATCTGAATCTAACTTTATCTTTGTCTCCAACACGAACATAGATATGTGTTCCATCCAAAGCACCTAAACAATTCTACAATAATTTTTCACTTATTAATTAATTTAATATATGTGTATGCACTTATTTTTTTATTGTTTTTTTTTTAAAAAAAATAATACTATAAGCTGCAAGTTACCTTGAACCATTTTCACCTGTCATCTTGGCAATTTTCAGTCACTGGCTCTTGTTTTTTAAATAGAATATGGTGACCTCTAAGAAGAGCTTGTAAAACTAAGTTGAAGTGCCTTGAAGTTGTCTCCCCACTTTTTCTAAAGTATAATTGAGTTCTTTGATTTTTGGTATCATGAGAGAGTGTAAAGAGGAATAAAGCAGCTATTTCTTCCAAACTTGAATTCCTATTTCCTTGCAATTTACCAACATCCTTAAGCATCTCACATAACTTATAAAGCCAGGCTCTATCCATTCTAAGGTTATCCAAGCATGCTACATCACTCCCTTGGATCATTGGTCTAATATAAAAAATTCTTGTAACCCCCCGTATTTTTAAATATTTTATAAACGAATTTTTATTTTATTTATAATATTTATTAGTATTTTCAGAAATTTAGTTTACAAGATTTCAATTACTAATTTGGGTTGATAAATTATATTACAAAGAAATTTTTATGTTCCTATTTACCCAAACTCATGACCATCAAACAAAGTCCAATCTATTTCATTAATTAAGTGGCCCATTATTTATTTTCATGAGACCCAATCTTACCCAACTTACCGTATAATTTTACTCCTATAAATACCTTACTAATCCCCAAAATTTTCGCCACACAAAAAGGTTAGTTAGATTCCTTTCTCTTTATTTTATTTCTTTTTCTTTATCCTTTATTTTTTTCTTTTCTTTTTTTTCTTTTCTTTCTTTTATTTTTTTTCCTTACATGAGAACTTTTCACGGTTGCTCTCACTACTGCCGCAACCACCTGGTCGCCGACGACCACCCAGCCGGCACCACCGTGGCCTTTCCCCTCTTTTCTCTCCCTTGTTTTGTTTGATTTGTATAATTATTTATGAACTTGTTTTTGGGGTTTGAATTTCTTGTTTGAAATTAGTTTATTTAGTATCAAATTCATATTTTTGATGGTTTAAACATACAATTTCAGATTATATAAGTGTTCTAATTTTTCAAATTTTATGAATTTTAAAACCTAAGGTTTTAATTTTTGTAAATTGGGATTTTAGGGTTCTAATGAGTAATTAAATTGGGGCTTTTGTACCTAATGTATTTCTAATGATTAATTAAGCATAAAAACATGTTTGTAAGGAAGTTTTAAGGAGTTTTAAGTCAAATTATATTGCTAGAAATTAGTTTGGGTATTCATTTTTTATTATTGGTTGTTTTCTAGGAGGTGATTATTCCCTGGTAGACTTTTAAGTGATTAAAATTAGCATAAAGGATTGTTTACACGAGGTACGTACATGTCTAATTCGTTGTAAGTAGTATTATGTTTAGGTACCAAAAGGAAAGAACTTAGTTTCATGTTTAGAGAACTCTTGGATGGAAATTGTTTGGTTAAACATTGAATTAATTCATGTGCTTATGTTTATGAGAAATGTTTTGGTGAATTGATTATGTTTATATGGAATTATGGATGCAATCATGTTGAATTATATTGGATTAATTGTTTGTATGGAATGTTGATACAAGCATACTTTTATTGGATTGGTTTATTAACCACATTTGGAATATTGAATAATTGGAATTGAATGGTTTAAGTTGAATGAATTTATTAATTATTCCATGAGGTTATTGTTATTTTATTTATTAGTCAAGCTTGACTTGTTAGTATGTTGAGTAAAGGTGGATTAAGCCGAAATAGCTAGGTGGGTTGACTATGTTCAACAATTTTGGATATCTTGGAAGTTTAATGGATTTAAAGGTCAATTTGTGGAGTGATCACCGTTGTCCTAAATAAGATTAAAAGTGAATTATATGTATGATTATTATGTATGGTTTACTTGAATGAGTCGGCTAATAATTAAACTTGTAGTCACATAAAGTAAAACATGGATGAGCAATAAAACTCTGGAAAGCATGCACTTCTAGAGTATTGACAATTATGGGTTGGGGTACACGGTGGTAGCCCGTGGCTTGTTTGATCAACATATCCGCTTTTCTTTTAGTATTTACATTTTTATTTTATAATGAAAGTTAAATGGGATCCTAGACTAACTTTGTGAGAATGGAGTCGCGCCCATTCTTGCATCGGGCTATATTTTTATTTTAATTGGTCATTTGAGAACAAAATGGTTTGGTAGATTGGACAACCTCGTCTATTTCTTACTCCAAATTAATTAAATTAAATATAATGAGTCAAGTGATTGAAATTGGTTAGTGAGTATGTTGAGGTGATTGAACTATTTAAGTGAGGGGATCAATGAATTTGTGTTATATGTTTATTTACTTTAATTAGTTGAGCATGCAAGGTTTGATGTGTTGTAGCTTGTATGTACTTAGCTTCGCTGATTACGTGCTTTTGTGTGTGTTTTCTTTTGGTCATGGCCTTCGCCTTTCAATGACCATGTGATGATCCAATTATTACACTTGTATTATTGGGGAGAAGTATTTCACATGTTAGCTTGATGATTTGAAATTCACGGATTTGACAAGCGCATTGTCAAGGGATTAGTGTGATTGAGAGTATTCGATTCTTGTGTTGAACTTATTTATACTTTGCTATTTCATTTATGATTTGGATTTTGATTGTTGGTTTGGTTTTAAATAAGGGTCTTTATGGTTCTAGTTTGTAATCTTTGACTTATTGGTTTTCTTCACTATATTATTTTAAAGACTTAAGCTTGATTTCTCTGTTGCGATACTTTGATAAAGCCTTATCGTTTTAACATGTGGCGGTAACATGCCAATGGTTCTCCTCGATTTTATTTTAAGTAATTGGTTTGGAAAAGGGAGAATTATTGAGGTGTTACAATTTCATTTTAAGTAATTGGTTTGGAAAAGGGTATGAAATGGTTTAGATTCCTTTGATTATTGCATGCACTTTATATTACTATCATATTTAGGATCTTAGCATAACAATGTCATGAATATAAATTCTATGGTTTGAAAGTTGCCATGCATGTAAGCATTTGGAAGTTTTCATTTGAGTCTATTGTTGTATGGTATGCATATAAGGATTTGAGATGGTTTAGATTCCTCTTATTGTTGCATGTAGTTTATATTGCTATCATATTTAAGATCTTAGCATAACAATGTCTTGAATATAAATTCCATGGTTTGAGAGAAAAAAATTAAGGTTTCATTTGTTAGATTGGTCTATTGTTACTCGAGGCTTTTATTGTGGCTTGGCTATGAAGTATTAGTTTCTTACTATCTTTAGCTGCATCTGATTTGGGTTGACCTTAGGCTAAATTGGTTGATTATACGTGAATTACAGGTTATGGATGCACCGCTCACACAGGTAGTGATATCATTTCTTCCTTTGTTAAAGCAAATTACCAGCTATTTGAATTTCCCTGATCTTGAATACCAATATCTCAATGTCCGTAGGAGCATTGCTTGTGTGGCAGTTAGGAGTGATAGTGGTGTTGTTCCTACTGTTTATCTTGGTGAAGATACGGTTAGTGTAGATGAATCGTGTGAAATTGCCGCTAGAAAAGCTGTGTATGATCTCATGAAAAAATATGAGATAATTATTGAGGATGTAACAACCTTAAAAAAGCAGACGTATGAACGTTGTGGTCGATTGTGTGGTTTTAAGAAAGAGGAACTAGAACGAATTGAGAACGGAGAATCAAAGGTTTGTTTTCATAGAGATGTTTCTACTGAATTTGGGAACAATCATAGGAAGATTGTAATAGATTTCCTTGAAGTGTTGAGGGCTATTTTCAAGTGTGTTGATATAAAGTGCACTCCAATTGAAATTATTGAGCAATTCCCTAATCAGTATACTTCTTGGTTTACTGTCATTCATCATAGGAATAGTTCAGGATTACAATGTCTGTTTAGTGATTATTGTTCAAGTCCAATTGCAACAAAGAAAAACCTTGCTAGGAAGGCTGTTGATTATCTCATTGATGTGTGTAATCTTGAGATAGTGGATGCTAATTATAGGGCAACGACTTGTAGGTTTGATGATGTGTTATGTGTTTTGGAGAGGGAGAGCTATTTAAGTGTAAAGGAACGTGTGTTGGGAGTTAAAGAACAGTTGGAACCTTCTACGGGTTTTGTAGAACAAGATTGCATAGCTTCAGTTAGGAAGGAGTTTCAGGCTCCGGTGCCTATTCCACCTATCATAACTTTCAATAAGACTGATCTAAGGTCTCAAGTAGTAGAATCATTTGCTATTGCTGATTCTGGTAGTGAAGTGTTCCCAGAGGTGGCAGGCTTAGAAGATTTACATGGTCGTTTCAAGCATATAAGGGTTTTAAAAGACTAGATATTTTTTAGTTTGAAATGGGGTTGTGGGAGTATTGTCTACATACTGCCTAGCCTTTTTGCTTTTTGCTTCAACTAAGTTAGTTTCTGCTATAACAGAAATGTATTGTTGTTTTGCGAATGAATGTCGTAGTTATTAGTTTTTGTGATGCTTGTGTATTGAACTCTTTTTAGCAAATAGATAGGAGTTCGGATTTAGATGTATGGCTATGTAATTGTTGTAATGGATTTAATATATTCTATGATAATGAATATTTCATATTGGCTTTTGTTTTTCAACTTCTTTATAATCTGCAGTTTGTTACCTGGTCTTATTTAGATCAAAAGCTTATTGTATGTTTTGTTATGGAAATTCAGGTGTCTTAGATCACGAGTTACGTGTACTAAATTGATTAATTAACTGATATAACGAGAATTGCAAGGACAAAGTATCGTGGAATTTGCAAAGTGTTGCAGGATATGGGTGAGTCTTATCGTGCATCTAAAGATTTAGATTAAGAAAAGTTTAATTTACATTCAAGTGTTTTGAGGATTAAGGCTTATTAATTTGATGTTGATTACTGATCATCTAGATCGATTATTACAAGCACCTTCAACGTCAAAAAGTAACAGAACTAAACGTCTAAGAGGTTTTCAAGGTAAATGTAACGAAGCACAGGCTGGATATGTATCTCAAAAAAAAATCAAAGATTAGACTTAAAGTGACAAGTAATTTCAGTATCCTTATTTTTGGTGTTACATATTTTTTCTGTTCTAGCAATTTTATATTCAAGTGATTTGAGGATTATGGCTTATGAATTTTATGTTTATTATTACAAGCACCTTGGTCATCAAGAAGTAACAAAAGTAAACGTTGTAGAGATTTGCAAGGTGAATGTAGTGATGAGATGCAAAGGTATTTAAAGGCTAATTACTTTGGAAACAAACTAAAATATATAAAACCATTCTATATTATCGTAATTATTTTTCACTGTTAAAATTTGTATGAATATGTGTTTTTATTACTATATTAAAGGTTACAGGAACAATCTAATGTTAACACTAAAAATAAAAAATAA